CGCAGCTCTCACCTCTGCCTGCCTATGTCTAGCTTTGCTGGCGGCAAGGGGAAGATCATCCACTACCTCTACGTCACTGACTTCATCTGCTGCGTGGCCGTGGTGTCCGTCTCATACATCATGATCGCTCAGGCCCTGCGGAGGAACGCCCAGATGAGGAAACGCCCACCTATGGTGGCCGTGGATGCCTCCAGACCACAGCCCTTCATGGGACCCTCGGCTGCTGGGGCTGGGGAGGGCACGCAGAGGGCTGTGCCCGCCTTGTACAGGAACCAGAGCTACAGCAAGCCGCAGCACATCCAGACACACGGCTACACCAAGCACCTTGGCCAGCTGCCAGCCACCGCTGCCAGCCGGCTCCAGCTGGTGTCGGCGGTCAACCTGTCCACAGCCAAAGACTCCAGGGCAGTGGTGACGTGCGTCGTCATCGTGCTCTCCGTCTTGGTCTGCTGCCTGCCCCTGGGCATCTCTTTGGTGCAGGACATGCTGTCCAGCAGTGGTGGCTTTGTTCTCTACCAGTTTGAGTTATGTGGATTTACTCTTATTTTTTTCAAATCTGGATTAAATCCTTTTATATATTCCCGTAACAGTGCTGGACTTCGGAGACGAGTCTTCTGGTGCCTGCAGTACGTAGCCCTTGTCTTTTTCTGCTGCAAGCAGAAAACAAGGCTTCAGGCTATGGGCAAAGGCAGCCTTGAGGTCAACAGGAACAAGTCGTCCCACCATGAGACCAATTCAGCGTACATGTTGTCTCCAAAACCTCAGAAAAAATTTGTGGACCAAGCCTGTGGTCCTAGTCACTCCAAGGAAAGTGTGCTGAGTCCTAAGGCTTCTGTTGGGCATCAGCACTATGCACAGAGCAGCTCAACCCCCATGAACACCCGAATCGAGCCCTATTACAGTATCTATAACAGCAGCCCTTCCCAAGAAGCGAGCACCCCAAATAGCTTACAGCCAGTGAACTCGACTTTCGGGTTTGCCAAATCCTACATTGCCATGCATTATCACACCACCAACGACCTGGTGCGAGACTATGATAGTGCTTCAACTAAGCAGATACCAGTGCCCTCGGTGTAAGCCTAGGAAAGGGTTCTGATCTATCTGATCCAGCGGGTCCCCTTCTTTGCTTTTGTTATTTATTATTCTGAACTCAATGACATATTACTGCTGCCAATTTAAGAAAAATGCTACTAACGCTAATATCTATTTGCATTTTAAGTGAATGCTAGGATATTACTTCTGTGATGCTTTCTTGAATTTTTGCAGCAAGTCAAAAAGGGTGGCATTTTAGATTTGTAGTTGGAATTGTTACACGAGGGTTTTTTGTTACTAAATTGTACTGCTGGACAAGTGGAAAAAAAAGTAAGCGCTATAACTGTGTGATTCATTATATCACAAGGCAGAATGCCTCGGAGAACAGTCTGAGGCTGCGCCAGGAGTGTTACCTGTTAAATTGCGTACTTGCCGTATTTTCACGAAGGAAGAATTGGGAGCATGCTTGGTATTACGATACTGAAGTTTAAACTCTTCTCGTTGCAGAAGGTTGAAAGAATCAGTGGTATTTTGTTGTAGCAAGTGTCAATAATAACAAAGGTCCTTTCTATTCACAGGGTGAAATCCTGGTTCCGTTGAGGTAAGTGGCAAAATTTCCATGAACTTCAACTGAAGTTCAGTCTTGGCTTCCTAAAGCAGGACGAGGCATTTTACAAACAGCGTTATATTGCTGCTGGGGAAGGACTTTTGAGAAGCGTTGTGGCGCTGTAATAAACCTCTGAAGTATATATATATACATATATATATTAATTTCTGCTGTATATTTATTTTAAGGACTGGTGGTGTTATGTATCCCAAAATAATATATTTGGAGAAGTATTTTACATGTGATAAAAGTAACTGTGCAATACCTAATTAAAAGGTTTTATTTGAGGATAAAGGTGAATATTGCGATATTATAGTACTGTTGCACTATTAGTAATGCAGTCACCTCTGGAATTTCCTAATTCACAAACTGTTATGCAAAGAGTAGTGTTGGTGGTTGCTTTTTTGTCTATGACTCTGTATAAAAATGGGAATTAAGTGGATTTGGCTGTGATATTCCTGACAGGTAGAACTGACAGCTGTTCACATTTTTAAAACCAGAATGACTACGTAACAAGATGACTACAAGTTTTTGAGGTTTTCTTAAGAAGTGTAACATGAGTTTGGTTGGAAGATTAATAATCTGTCTACTTATAAACTTTATCTGTTGGTCTACACAGTGAGCAGATAATAGAAGTTAAATTTTTATTTTTTTTTATAAATCTGACCATTTGTGTTGTGTCATGTGTTATGGGAATTCCTTATGAAAAAGAAGGATTCGAAGACATTTCAATTCCTGATGATTTTCGCTTTAAGTGGCCAGATCTTTTCAAAGCAAGCAATCACCATTCAACTTCAGTGGACTTCAGCAGAGCCTTAGTATCTCTGAAATAATTGTGCCACAGACTTTTGGTGCCTCGTTATAGGAGAATGCCACATCTTTAGCAAAATTAGTGATGGAAAGATGATTTGTTATGTTAGAAACAAACAAAAAAAATTCACTTAATTCCATGTGTGAGTTGTTGTTGGTTTAGGCTATTTGTTAACTAAACTATTTTCAAGATTTTCCTGGAAGACATTCTGAACACTGTTCTTTGTTTAACATTCTGAATTTTAATTGATTTTGAATAATTCAAGACTGCTTTTTTGCAATAAAATGAATGTGAAGCAACTTCCTAATACAAATGTAAAATTGAAATTATTTCCATAAGTCTTTTCTCTCTGTCCGGATGTTTGTCTCTATAAACAAATAACATGGTTCTTTCTAAAGTAATTATAAAAAATAAGTAAAAGATCTGTCTTCTTTGTTTTTTCTGTCCTCGCATTTCTCTTTAGTACAAAGCATACTAATTTGGAGAGAAAAAATACGTGGCATTCTGTAATTTTGTCTCAAATGATGCATTCTTAGCAGCAATTACAATTCCAGATGGTAAGGAGTATAGGGCAAGACCCGAAAAGTGGTTGCAAGATGGGGTCCTGTGTGTACTTCAGGGGAGTTGAAGATACGCATGAAGGCTGGTTTTAACATCAAGCAGGTTTTGGGTTTGCTGCAGGCACGTACAACTCCTTCTGTGCTTTTGGTTTGGATCACATGAACCTTCATCAGGTGATAGAAGATTAAATCCCTCGCACCTTATTCATCAAAGTGATTGGCATTGAGTATTCATGTGGGAGTAAAGCAAGAAGGGCGTAGCTTTAGGATAGAAGGAGGTTTTATTGCCTTATGTGATGTATTATTGCGATAAAAGAACTGAAGTTCCTTCGAAGCTCTTTGTAGTATCGCTCTTCTGGTAACTCCTGGTGCCAGTTGTATTCTTACCACAACCAGTGTGTTAATATGTTTATAGTGTCAGATAGCAAAGTGCAACACCTTTTAATCTGTGCTAGGAACAAAATCTGATTTAAGTTGTCAGTTGTACTAACTGTTTTGGGGCAGGTTTATGGATGTAGTAAATAGAGATTTGATTTTGAAAATATGTAGGTACAATTTCTTTGAAGTGAATCAAACTGAAGTAATCAGTTATCATATGATAAAACAATTGGTTTAGACTCTTCTGGAGTATAACTTGCCTTTTTTTCCTTTAGACCCCTTCTTGTGTCACCCTGGCTCTCCTGCTGAGCACAGAACCAGTAAAGTGAGCAGCAATCTGATTGAGAGGGGAAGCAACAGAGTGCTGGACAAAGGAGGTGGAAAATGTATGTGAAGAGAGGAGATGGGTAAGAGGGTAAGCAATAAAAGTATGTGAATACCGACTGGTTTAGAAAAAGTAGGTCTGTAGTTAGAGCAGTTCATAACACAAGGACAAGGAAGCATCTCGTGAATATGAAAGGTGGCAAATCCAAGTGCTGCAATTTCCTTCCTGCCTGTACATACATTGTGGACCTCATTGCTGCAGAACTGTTGAGAAAAAAATAGGAAGGTTTAACAGATACTTCGTGTGGGTAATAATGAACATCAGGAGCCTAGCGGTTAATGCTGACATGTTTTAGAATATATGTAAAATTTTATACTCCAGGAATTAAAGGAATCTTTGATTTCTGGGGTTAGGATGAACCCATTGTGGTGGAACATGTTATCCCATGGTCCATGACTGGTCACAAGTGGTGTTCTCCAGGGCTCAGTGTTGGGACCAGCTCTGTTTAATACTTTTATCAATGACCTGGATGATGGGATTGAGTGCACCCTCAGTAAGTCTGCAGATGACACCAAGCTGTGCAGGAGTGTTGGTGTGCTATAGGGCAGGAAGGCTCTACAGAGGGATCTGAACAGGCTGGATCGATGGACCAAGGCCAATTGGTTTAACAAAGCCAAGTGCTGGGTCCTGCACTTTGGTCACAACAACCCCATGCAACAGTACAGGCTTGGGGAGCAGTGGCTGGAGAGCTGCCCAGCAGAAAAGGATCTGGGAGTGTTGGTCGATAGCCAGTGAACATGAGCCAGCAGTGTGCTCAGGTGGCCAAGAAGGCCAATGGCATCCTGGCTTGTATCAGAAATAGGGTGGCCAGCAGGAGTAGGGCAGTGATTGTGCGCCTGTACTGGGCACTGGTGAGGTGGCACCTCGAGTGCTGTGCTCAGTTTTGGGCCCCTCACTACAAGAAGGACATGGAGGTGCTGGAGCATGTCCAGAGAAGGGCAATGGAGCTGGGGAAGGGGCTGGAGCACAAGTGTGATGAGGAGCAGCTGAGGGAACTGGGGTTGTTTAGCCTGGAGAAAAGGAGGCTGAGGGGAGACCTTCTTGCTGTCTACAACTACCTGAAAGGAGGGTGCAGAGAGGTGGGGGGTCAATCTCTTCTCCCAAGTAACAAGTGGTAGGACAAGAGGAAATGGCCTGAGGTTGCGCCAGGAGAGGTTTAGATTGGATGTTAGGAAAAATTTCTTCACTGAAAAGTTAGTCAAGCATTGGAAGAGGCTGCCCAGGGAGGTGGTGGAGCCACCATCCCTGGAGGTATTTAAAAGACAAGTAGATGTGGTGCTGAGACATGGGTTAGAGGTGGAATTGTTAGTGTTGGGTTTATGGTTGGACTTGGTGATCTTAAAGGTCTTTTCCAGCCAAAACAATTCTCTGATTCTATCCAACATATGTTTTCAGTGTGCTTTTCAGCTTCTTTTGAAGTTGCTGGTGTTGGCCACTGTCACAATACTTGGCCCAAGGACTGTTTATGCTTTATTATTGAAAATCTGTGCTTGTGGTGTGAGGTGTACTAGTAACAGTTTGACCAGAGTATCTCAGGAAGGAAGGAGCAGCCTCAAAGGAAGCGTAAAGAAGCTCATTAAAAAAACAGCTGATGAATGAATTTGGGCTGATCTCACTAACAAGTGACTCCTGGTTGTGTACATCAACAAAAAACTTAAAAGATTTTCTAATTCACAGTCTTTTTAAGTCATAGATCTTGCTTTATGCTTTATTGTATTTTTTTTTATCCTTTATATATAAAACCTAAAAGTTTTTAATGCCAAATAATTTTGAACAATACCTACACAACCTAAAAAAAGTTGCTAAAGAACATTCAACAGTTGGGCAGTACCTCAGAATTTTTTAGACTAGAGATTAGAGAGATCTCTGTAAGCCAGTATACCTTTTTTTTCCTAAGTCACAGAGCCAGTCTGCCTTAGCAGTAAGGCTCCAACAAACTGAGGAGGGCAAGATGCAAAAATTGGACAGACAATAGTCAAGAAGGTTCAGTGCCTAATAATTTTGTCGTATCTTGTGGTATTTTATGTTATGTATTGTTTAGGTATATAATTAGTCACTTGTTAGGAAAGCTGTGAAAATTATCCCTCATATAATCTTCAGTACCCCTCCACCTGCAGCACAGGGAATAAAAAATAAAGGGACTTCTGAACTGTGAGGTTTGTGCTTCCCTGCACCATTATCTCTTCACCTTCTTCCACACGGTAGCGAAGCAGGGCTGCGGAAAGCAACATGAGGTGTTCATGATGGAAACAGAGAGAGGGCAGGTGGTGTAATACCTTAAAATAACAGAATAGCCTTGCAGGG